TTTACAATTTATAATTAATTTTTTAAACATATACATATTATTTACATTTAATACACTTTATGATAATTTGATGCGAATTTTACAAAATCTATTCGTTTTATAGAACCATTTTTATATTCTAACATTTTTGAAGTTAACATATTTAATCTTCGTCTAACAATTTTGTTGTTACATTTAACAGACTCCTTAAGGCTGTTAATACGAATATAAGTATCTGTTTGAAAATTGTTCAAAACATTTACAAATAAATACAATGAAGGGTGCATTGAATAGAAATTTGAATTAAATCTAGAATGAAAGGACTCGCATGCATTGGTAGAATTTTCTGTAGTTACAACAGCTTCAGCCCAAATTGTTGGTGGAAATAAAGAATTTTCTTCAATATAATTCTTTACTAAATAGTCAGCTAAATTTACCACAGCTTTATGCATATGATCGGGCTGAAATTCAGCCAAATCCAAAGCAAAACATTCTCCAACTTCTTCGGGTTTTAAAAAAGACAATCCAAAAAGATACCTCATCCATTTTAATTTTAATTTCACTCATTTTTACAAGACTGCTCAAAATAAACTAAACACAAAACACTCACTTCAAATATATATTAGAATTTCGAAAGTAAAGTAAAAAAATGCTCGTTAACGCAATGAATCATCATTACAACCTTAATCCCTAATCCGCAATTCGGTGCACTTACTATAATTATTTCTCAGAAGCCTGGTCCTCAATTCGTGTCATATTTTCAGGTACAAAAATAAACCCTTCTTAATATTTTCATTTTGGTTCTCAATTCGTGTCTGCCCGGCCTATACCTTTCGAATAGCGAAAGGATTAAATTTGGGTAAAACTGACCGCGGCGACCAAGAGGTATATTCCCTTTCACTAGGCAAATAACGAGGATACTATCTCATTAAACTGAATGAAAAACATTCAAAATATTCCGATGTTAGGGTAGATTGGTTACAAGAAATTACTGAAAATTTTATATAAACCGTTTTATTGCATTGTAGGTAATACTTTATCTGTGTAAATACCATCTATTAACAATTACCTTAATGGGCTTAATCTCTTAAGAAGGTAAAAACCCAGTGCATGCCACCCTCCAAGAACTAATTAACAAGAATTTACAAGAAGTGACACTTAAAAATAAATACAAAAATTTAAAAGGTCTTTATTTCAAATATATCTGTATAATCTGTTAAAACAATTTTTGATTTGCACAGTATAGTAATACATTTTTTTTTTTTAAATATGCAATATTTTTTTAAATTTTCTGAACTTTGGTAAAATATGCAATATTTTCTGAATTTTGGAAAAATATGCAATATTTTCTGAACTTTGGTAAAATATGCAAAAAATGCATATATATGCATTTTGCATATATTCCGCTCTCTAATAATAAGAAATGAACATAAAATTAAATTAAAATGTTATAGTTATTTAATTTGATATAAACAAAAAATATAGAGCACTCAGTATAGTAAAAAGTTAGTAAAATAACAACTAAACATTTTTTCAAATTGACGAAGCGTAAAGCGAATAATCTATTTGAATTTAGAAATTTTTTTATGTGTCCCAATAACCGGTCAGGACAAAAAAAATATATTTAAAAACTAAAATTCCTCCAGTAATAATTTCAACTATACATTACTTTAGAAAAGAACTTAGTATATCTATGAAAAAAGATTTAAAGGAAAAATTATCAAGATGGTTTAGAAAATTTAAAAATAATTGATTTAAAAACACTGGTACAAAACGCTTAATAATGTAAATGCAGTTTTTTTTGTTTCAAATAAAATTATCCTTATAAATCAAATTTTGCATGTATTTTGAAAATAGCCCTTATGATAAAAAAAGCACGCACCATCCAACTTATGGTCAGGCGAAACGATACCACAATTTGAACTTGTCAGGCGAATCGGGAAATTTTAATTGGTCAGGCAAAAGGGGAACAGGCGAATCGGGCATAAATCAAGTCAAATACATAGGTATTGTTCTACCCTAGCTTCATTGGGCTTGACATATACTGCCTTCGATCATGGTGGACTGTATTATAGTATATTACCTGGGGTGGAGGCCTTATGCTCCACCCGGTAGCATCTGGGAGATATTCTTAAAGTTCTGGTTGAAGCACTGGGTTTATTCAAATAAAACTATCACCCTATACTTGCACAATGCTTGAAATTAATTTACGTCGAATGCCGGCTTTATAAGTGTTTAACGACTTGTCGCTTCGTCGACTAAGAAAACGAAAGTGAGTGTTTTGTTCTGCGATGCTTGTTAGCTCGCATCGGTTTTACCGGCTTTCTTCTAATTGGTTACCTAGTATCGTATGATTGCACGCGAGAATAATGATTGGGTGAAAAAATCTCGCGTAGTTTTAATTGTTTGCGAAGTAGCAGGTGTCTTTAAAGTAAAGGTTATTTAAAAGTTATCCGGGTTGTTATTTCACAACTTTGGATAATTGGTCTATTTAATATTTTATTCTTTTTGTTTGTTAAGTTTGGAGGTTTATACAGGGAGTGTCTATCTAGTATTTTATTCTTTTTACTTTTCTATCTGTATACAGATATAAGGAAAGTATAGGAATCATGATTTTTTTCGACCTCGACTTTTCGATGGATTTTTACGTTTTGAGGTCCCCTGAATCCGTTTTGACTATTTTCGCGATGATGTCTGTGTGTGTGTCTGTGTGTGTGTCTGTGTGTGTGTCTGTGTGTGTGTCTGTGTCTGTGTGTGTGTCTGTGTGTCGCATAACTCATGAACCGATACACGGAAAAACACCAAATTTTAAACTTAAGCTTTGTTCCAGCGTCCAATGTGCTGATTAGATTTTGGGCAGTGTCGGAACATCTGGGGGGTACTTTATAGGTGGTCATTTTTATATTTTATGGAATATATCTGTTATTTACGTTTGGGTAAGAAAATTCTTCAAATAAAAGTTTTCTAAAATTTTTGTTCTATACAAAATTTTCCTAAAATGGACCGTATTCGAGATATTTGAGAAAATGTGTAAATTTTAAACTTAAGTTTTATTTCGGCCTAACGTGAAATTATTAGATTTTGGACAAAGTCGGAACATCTGGGGGGGTACTTTATTGGGGGCCGTTTTTATATTTTATGGAATATATCTGTTATTTATGTTTGAAGAAAAAAATTATTCAAATAAAAGTTATTATCTATAATTTTTGTTTTATGTCAAAATTTCCTGAAATGGTCCGTATTCGAGAAATTTGACAAAATGTGCAAAATTCTGATTTTTATGAAAATTGTTGAAATAAAAGTTGTTTGCGATATCGATCTCTATAATTTTTGTTTATACATTATTTTTCTAAAATGGACCGTAATGAAAAAATTGTAGGAAAAGTGCTAAATTTAAATTTTTCAGTATTTTCATTTTCGATGAATATAGAAAAATGTTTCGAGGTAGATGTATGTGGAAAATGTATATATTTATTTTATCCTCTAAACATTTATGGAGGTGCTGCAATAGGTTGTACAAAATAACCGGAAAAAGCATATAATAATTAGATAGGAAAGTCATGTGTTGGACACATCAGATTTTTTTGTTTATTAAATGCTGATTTAGATTAGCAGATAGGACATGTTGAATGTAATTTCAACAGGTATTATGTGGGTAGGTACTTACCATTTCATAAAATGTAATTACAACACAATTAACACAAAATATAAAGCACTCGGTCGAATATTTATAACTATAACTTTGCGCCTTGGTTTTTGACCTTCACGTAGCCGAATAAAATATTAACAGTTTGGATTACGACGCCTCCTGCAGTTTTATCTATACTCGTGGTCTCGTGGTTCGTAGATGAGTCTTCAAGTCTGGACAGGAAAAATCGACAATATCTATTTTGAAACTTGATCGTATAGTAATTGAGTCTGGACAGGAAAATTCATCAAGTTTATACTTTATACATGGTATTGCATGTTGCACACAGAATTAACTAACCTATTGATTTTATTATATTTAATCATTAACGCTAATTGAATAGCTATTTGATTTCAAAAATAGATATGTTTTCTGTCACGATAGGAATAGGTCATTATATCAACGAACATGAACTTCGATAATATTATTGATTATATTATCATGAATTGAGATAAAAACATTTTTGATTTCTTTAGTGTCTTAGTGCCTTGTTCATTGGAATCGTTAGAAAAATTCAAAATTCGAATTGTATACAGAGGTGCGCCCGCGTGCGGTTCACGCGCATTTGCGGGGGCTCTGAGTCACCTTCTTCTAAAGAGATGTAAATTAATCCGTTCAGTTTAGAAATTTTGAGATCAAGATTTTCCTGCTCGTTACAGGCAGTCAAAGTGTTAAAGTACACTCATTATAATGGGTTTGTGATTAACAGACACGTTATTTGTGAACAGATTGCTAGCTATTTCTGTGTATTTATAAAAATAACTGTTAAAATTAACAAGTTTGTCAGTCGTAATTTCTTGAGATATTTACAAACATAATTATGAACTAAATTGTAACATTAAAGTCCGATCCTGGACCTGTTTGGAGGTTGCCGTACACTTGGATTAGAGTTGCCACCAGTTCTTTTTTTCAAACAAATTGTCTTTGTGACTTTATAAACCTCAAGATGTCCCTTTAGAAGCTTGTCGTCAGAAAAATATAAACAGATGAGGATCTTTTTTTTTATTTTAGAAGCTAGGCAGAAGGACCTGGGGTTTATCAAAAATATAAGCTGATGAGAACCTTTTTTTTAGAAACTTGCTAGAATTGGTTTTTCAAATTTCCCTTTCGTAAATCTGGCACCTCTACTTTTATACACTTTTTAAAAAGCTGAAGTTGTAAAAAAAAGGAAAAATATCGTTGTACAAAACTATACAACAGCAATCAAATTTATTTTTGTATTATAATGAATTTAAATTATTTAGTCATGCCACACCAATTTATTTACTATATCTGTATTCTTTAACAATGTTTAATTTAACTATATGGCCTTTGACACTTCAAACGCTCTATCATTTTTTGTTTGCACATTGCATCGCTAGTCATTTTCTTAAGTTTTCGAAGTAGATTTTTGTATTCGGCATTCAAATTATTGATTCGAGTGTTATTATAGTAATAAATAAAAAATATTTTTATTGTGTCGTGTTAGAATGAGATATCACGATTTTGAATAACAGGCACTTGAACAGGTACTAATATTAATTATTGTAAGATAATAGTTAATGTATTCATATGATTTGTTTATAAATATTAAATACTGATAGATATATTTCATTGTTGTTGTCAAAAGAGTCAATATTAGGTTCGAAAATCCGAATATAAGTTCCTAGTATAATTAAATTATAATTTAAATAACAGTAATATTTTTTAGTTAGTGTCTATAATAATTTACATATAACACGGATTTCTTTTTTTTTATTTAAAAAGGGTAAGTTTTAATTTCATAATTTCTCTTTTATTTAATTTCCATCCATTTTTCCGTATTTGCCTTTTATATCAACCATCTTTATCCTAGAATAATGTGTCGATATCTTTCTCTATCGCCTTCTTTATTTTCTAAAAAATACTGTCGTCCAGTGACGGGGGGACGCTATCTATATCTGACAAACAATGAACTGATTTGTAAGAATAGTAAACCGGTACGATTTTTTTATCTAAAAATTATGTATCCATTTAAAAAATTGACGATACCTATTGCTGTTTTGTTAAATTAAAATTTAAACGTGTTTTTTTTCTCACCCCGTATAATAAAATCTTTTAATCTCATCCTCAGATAAACAAATAAAATATAGATAAGTTAAACGGGTGCCGGTTAATATAGGCTTTGTTTGAAGCCTATACCAGCCATACTTAACTTTTTTTCTTCGGGCCATATTCGTATGTTTGCTATGGTATACGGACCACAATATTTTTAGAAGATGAACCTTTTGACTATTCATTTAAAATTTGTAAATATTTCAGTCTCTAAAAATACTTCTTTTTATATTTATTACAATAATTATTATAATTGTCAGATCAAATTATGGCTAAACGATACATTATATAAATTATTTATTATAATTTATTTTGATTCCGTTGAAAAAACTTGCATCATATTATTCCTAGACACAACAAATTTAATAATTCAAGCAATTGACTGTCTGCCGTCTATCCGAGCACATCCACCAGTGGTCCGGCTACTTACATATCAATCCATTGTAAAAGTTTACTAAAGGTCATGCCATTCGCCTGTAGAAAGCGCTTCTTATACATTCAAACGGGGCCACGTTTCAAACGGCTCTGAATGAATAGTTAGAATAGTATTGTTTCAATCGCGTGTTCGGCGTATTGCTTTTGACATTTTATGCGTGCTGAATTTTTGTTTGTTAGGCAAAATGAATAAAATAAGCAATCTGTTACTGAAACCTTTTTCTACGCACTAGCTCGAGAAAAAAATCCAAATAAAGGAACTTGAGAGACCAAAGGCCGGATAAGAAAGTTTAAGCGGAATTTTTAGTTAAAAAATAACTGGATTTGTGGATGCGATGAAAAAACCCATTTTTTTGTTTTGTGTGTGTTTTGTTCGAGGGCAATTCTTCGTGGACAATGCATGGTGTAACTGATTTGGTACTATTTATGAGAAAATTAAAACACATAAAGACAATCAGGCCCATGTAAATACTATTTCTAGTTATCCTTTGCTTGGAAAATCAAATATACAGACTCAATTAAATTCGGCTTATATACAAAATATAATTACCCACAATAAATAAGTCATTATTAACTGTATTACTACCGGAAACCGAAGAATCCAAAAATAAAGGAGTGTTCCGAGAATTGATAAATTTTAGTTCTGAATTAGTTGCAGATTTAAAGGAACATTTCAACAAAGCAACAGTATTTAAAGGGACCTCTAAGACCATACAGAACAAACTATTGGACTGCATGCTTGGCGTTTACCATAAAGAAGTGGCTAAAGAAATAAAAAAAATCTGATGTGTCCAACATATGACTTTCCTATCTAGTTATTATAGGCTTTTTCCAGTTATTTTATACAACCTATTGTAGCACCTCTATAAATTTTTAGAGGATAAACTAACTATATACATTTTCCACATACATCTAACTCGAAATATTTTTCTATAGATATTCATTGAAAACGAAAATACCTACTGAAAAATTTAAATTTAGCACTTTTCCTCCAATTTTTCCATTATGGTCCATTTTAGAAAAATCATGTGAAAACAAAAATTATAGAGCTCGATATCGCAAACAACTTTAATAATATTAGAAGTAACTTTTATGTGAACAATTTTCTTCTCCAAACATAAATAACAGACATATTCCATAAAATATAAAAACGGCCTCCCATAAAGTACCCCCCCCCCCAGATGTTCCGACTTTGTCCAAAATCTAATCATTTCACGTCAGGCCGAAATAAAACTTAAATTTAAAATGTAATGTTTTTTTCTTTATCCGTTTTTGAGTTTTCTACAAAATTCGAAATTTACACATTTTCTCAAATATTATAGAGAATTATATTACAAATAACTTTTATTTGAGCAATTTTTATAAAAAATTAATTTTTTTACATTTTGTCAAATTTATTGAGCACGGACCATTTAAGAAACATTTTGTATAGAATAAACATTGTAGATAATAATATTATAAGTAACTTTTACTTGAAGAATTTTCTTCTCCAAACGTAAATAACGGATATATTCCATAAAATATAAAAATCCGTCGAAAACTTGATGTCGAAAAAAATCATGATTCCTATACTTTCCTTTTATCTGTATACAGATAGGAAAGTAAAAATTGGACTATCGATATAGGTGTATCTTAATTAAATACAGCACCCAGAGAGCATATGAACAAAAAAAAATTACTCACATGTGTTTGCAACATGCACCATTACACTGGGACGTAATATTAAAATTTTTAAACAATAAACAGAGACAATCCAGCGAGACGTGTAACTCAATGTATTTTTTTTGTTCGGTAAAAGTTATTTGGGCGATTGTAACCACAACTAGTCTATGATGGCGCCACTAGTAAATAGCGGGAAAATTAAAAATGCTTTAGGGCGGGAAATTCAAACATGGATTCAGAAATAAAGTTTTCCTATACAAATTTACAGGAGAAACAAAAACTATTGTTTCACTGTATATGAAAAAAATATGAAAGCTTCCAATAACATCAAATTTTTTATCACATAAATAATCATTTTAATAAAGGAAGTTTTAATCAGTTTAATATAAACAGTGAACATAGTTTTTATTACTCTTGTAAACTTCGCTAAAAAAAAACTTGAAAATTCTATTGATTATTAAATATTTTAACTTGGAAAAATAATACACCAAACTCTTTTTCTATAAATTATATTTTTGTAAGGTACAGAAAAACAAACTACAATTGCTTCCTTTAGAAAGTACCTCCTATCATTTTGTGACATATTACAAAGAAAGTAACAGTTGTTATATATTCATAATATATTTAAAAACTAATGTAACAAATATTTTATAAAGTATAGTATCGATACCTTTTTACCAGACTATCATAAGTGCCATTTAAACAAATGTCACTTATGTTAGTCTGGCAAAAAGGTATGGATATGTTATGACTGTTTATTTTAATAGAAACCATGGAAACGAAACACACATACACTCAACACAAATGTATAAGGCCCGAGTCAAGTAAGTTCCCATCCTGTAAACTGGATCGAAACCTGCTAGACCCCTGCTAACTCCTCTTATAGTAATCAAGATCAATATATTTATATGCCATGCCTTCTAAAAGGGAATGAAGGATGACATACTATCATCATTTAAACAGGACGTTGCTGAAGGCTTACCCCTGTTATTTCGTTTGTTTGTGTATCTTGTGTGTGTGCATTCCTGTTGTGTCCCCAGTCATGTAAAAGTTTTCCTAGTCTCCTAATTTGGTTACTAGGTGGACCTTCTCCAACTAGTAGTCTAATCTATTCAATCTGTTCGGAAGCAGGAGGTACTTTTCAAACATAGCAAATAATATTAATAATAAACACTATTTAAAGATAAATACATTTTTGTAATTTTTTTGTCATTGCTCCTTACCTTTCTCTTACACCACCAGGGTATACCTATTTTCCATATTCCCTTAATTATAGATTACCTCACAATGTTCGAATGAATATAACATTTTACTCATGAAAAATCTAATTTTATATTTAACTCTTTTTCAATTTCATTTGAAACCATAATTGGTACCTATATTACAATTTATTATCAAAGAAAATGTCTAATAAAGTTATAGCAACTCCTACTTAAACTACTGGTTGTTCTGCAGGATAAATTAACTTTTCTTGAGATTGATCTCTCTATAAAATCCAAAACCGACCTGATGTCCCCAAATTTATTTTCCAATGCATCCTGATTTAAAATTCTGCCCTTTTGTGATTCAATTTTTTTTCTTCCTTTAGAGTGGCTGTTAGAGGTAGGTGTATGTAAGAAATAGCTAATCTCTAATCATTTCAAAAGTCCTTTGCCAATACTACATGTGCAGATTTTTTACTCAGCATACATTTTACTTTTCTAGTAGATAGGAACTTTGTGCTGCCATTAAAGCTGTCCAGACATTCATCTACCTACTTAATGAACACAAGTAGCTGTAACAATGGATCTCTGTTCCAATTCACCTAAAATAATTATAGTCATTGTGTAATATATTATTAAACACACACATTATACAGTGGTTTTCTTAATAAATTGGAAATTACTTACCTCTAGAAAGAAATGTGTACAAAAAAGCGAGTTTGGTTCCAGAAATTGCTTCATGCAAAAAATAATATGCAAAAATAAACATTCCCCCCCAAAGAAAATTAATTAAACAACAAAATCAGACTAAAAGAAATATACGGGGCCCAAATTAAATTAATTTTAATAAAATGCACATGTTCATAACAACATTCATAACATTGTCAGTTGTCAGTTTTAATACTTTTAATCGATATTTCTACGTCAAAAAACCAGCAACACCAGCGCCCTCTGAAAATGGTGTTAGTTTTATTGGAGAGAGATAGACATATGTAAAGATCAATGTAAAAGAAAAAGAGGGTCATATATGTAATTGAAATGGACCACCGAACATATTTTCCTATTAAGTAACACGTCTCTGTTGTCTCTGCAATAAACCACAAAATTTTAAGGTATTACAAGGAGTAACTAAAAAC